ATCCACTTCACCGACCACTCATCCAGCCCACACTTCCTCAGCTTCCCTAGGAGGATATCATGGGAGACTGTGTCGAAAGCCTTGCTGAAGTCGAGGTAGACAACATCCACGGCTCTCCCTTCGTCTACCCAGCCAGTCATGTCATCGTACGTGTCGGTGTTGAGTAGCAGCAGAGAGGGGTTTGAGATGGAGGAGTGTCAGCAAATCGTGGTGAGGGAAGATGCCCACCTGCGGTGACCGTGCTGCTCGGTGTAAAAGGCGAGTGGTTGCTGTTGCTGGGCACTGCAGGGCAGTCACACATGAACGCTCGTCTTTTTAAGCGCTGCTAAATCTGTGTCCACAGCAGTGGAGACCAGAGAGGTTTGTGTGTTTTCCCACTCAAAGTAGCCAACAGGAGAACAAGACAGGCCTCCCTCACCAATAGCCTGTTGCAAGCAAATCTGACGCTGGTCATAGAGGGGCTTGGTTTTGTCTTCCTCCACCGAGAGTGCTGGACACCTCTGCAAGGAGAGACGGCGGATCGGGATCAGTTTGCTTTGCTGATAGCCACTCCTGCAGGAGAAGCGTGGATGTCCCCTGCTTTGAAGTCAGGCGGCAGGTCTGCAGAGGGTGCTTCTGTGGGGCCTGTGCAGTCCTTGGTGCCCCTGTTGGAGCTGTTGTTGAAGGAGACCTGGTGATGGTGGCTGCACTCTTGCCTATCTTGTACAGCGACAGAAAAGGCTGAATTGGCATTTTTTTTTGTTTATTTTGCATGTTTAGCTTCATGACAGCTACATCAGGGGTGAACATAACCATCTGCTCAGCCTCTGGCGTCAGGTGGTAGCCTTGTGCCGTCATTGCTTGGAAATGAAGACTGCCACTGACCGGTGAGTAGAAGTGAAGGCTGGATCTCTTGCAGAAAAAAATGTATCCTCCCTTCCCACCCGCTTTTTGAGCCTCGGTGTTACGGTCGTTGCGGCTAAAGATCCGATTTCTCCTTCGGTAGTCTGAAGCAATGCCATTAAGCAAGCTTTAGGCTATTTTCAGAATCCTTTTGTTTGATGCTGGTTTCCGATAAACCTGAGGGCCTCAGTCTGTGAACGGTGCAGAGGCCCTGAACAGATGAACCTGACTATGGTGATCTGTGGGGGTGTCTGTGACATTAACACAGACACGGGCATACGTGGACACATTGGAAGAGACTCACCAAGGCTATGCATGCCGCGTGCAGAGCGGTCCGTGTTCTCGAGTGATTAAGATCTGCCTTAAATGTCACTGGGTTTCTTTTCCCCAGCGCTCCTGATGGAAATATCATTTATCAATACATATATATGTTGTGGTTTTGCCTCAATTTGCAGCAAAGAATTTACACAGTTGCTCTCTCACTCATCACCCCTCCCCCGTGGGATGGGGAGGAGAGTCAGAAGGAAAAAAGGCAAAAACTCGTGGGCTGGGATGAGAACAGTTTAACAGAATGGCAAAGGGAGGAGAAATCAACAATCAACAACACCGATAAAAACCATGTACAACATGCAGTATTCTCACCACCCGATGCTCAGCTCGCTCCTGAGTAGCAAAAGCCCCTCCTTCAGCCAGCTCCCCACTTAAATACTGAGCATGACATCACACAGTATAGAATACCCCATTTGGTTGGCTGTTTGGGTCAGCCCAGCCAGCTCCTTGTGAAAATTAACTCTAGCCCAGCTGAACGCAGGACAGTATATATAATGTAAATATTTTTCTTTTCCATTCTCATTTCCAGCTTACATTTATTCTGGTCAGTTTGCATCCGCTTATTCCCATGCCAGCACGGCTGAGAGAAAGAATGGCTTCTCTACCCTGTTACTGCATTTATCCAATGTATCTTGCTTAGTTTGATACCTCCTTTTTGTGATTGTTTTCTTGTTCTTGGGCTCTCTGAGATTCCTTTCTCACAGCTTCCTTCTATAAAATGAAAAAGAGCGTGGCTGTAACAGTACCTTCCTCTGTGAAGTCAGACACTGAGACCAGTGCTGTAACATTTGCATTTGTGGGCAATGATGTGAACAGTTTCTAAACCTGTACTCCTAAATGTGTAGAGTGTGCCTGACCTCCTGGTTAATTCTTGAAGCCTTCTGGCTGTTGCATACATTTCTTCTCATCTCTGAGGAGAACATAGACTCATTCCTCAGCCATCAAAGAGACCCGTTGCTCAGCTATCGAGATGTGTCCCGATCCCAAAGTGTCAGACGAATTGTTCGTCCCCAACGAAGATGTCACCTTTCCTGCCAGCTTCTAGCATTGCACTATTATGTGCTTCAAAAGTGAGTCAGCTGCTAAAGATGGTGGTGTGAACATTAGCTCGTTCTTTATTCTTCTGCAGAGACTTGTCCGAGCTGAAGGCAGAGCAAATGAGGCTTTCTGGATCTCTGCTCGTAAGCTGCTCCCGCCTAAACTCTGGCACACAGCTCTGGGAGTCCGTCACTGCGCATAGACCTGTCCCAAAGGATGAGGCACAGCTGCAAGTGGAGCAGGACATAAGCCCGAAGACCTGGGAAGTGATGTGCTTACGAGTCACGGGGGACCTGGAGACAACAGAGCTTCAGCACAGGTAAGCGTGCTTTAGACTTTGCTATTACCAACATTCTCTTTTGTGGGTGCTTCTTGGATTCCTAGATGGGCTGTGTCCACGTGTAAAACACACCCGTTCTCCACAGCCTTGTTTCTGTCCCTAGTCAAGCCATTGCCTTCAACAGAACAGGTAGCAAGAACTGTCTGACTGACGGAAGCTCTTCTGAGTAAGACAAGACTGGAGAAGAGGTTGCATATTACAGTGTTTTTGTGGTTATCTGATTCTTGGTAAGAACTTGAGACCAGCACAAAGAGAGCTCTGTCTGTTGTGCAGCCCCAGGGCTGTGCTAAAGGAGCTGGGAGAATTTTGCACAGGACCACCATAAGCAAAGTAGCACCCCTGTGCTGATGTTTCCTTGCAAGAGTGAGCGCAGAAGGCCTCTGGGGCAAGAGTGCCATTTTGCAGCGTCACCACTCTTAGTAGCCTGAATCATCCTGTGATCCTACGGTTATTGGACTGGAAATTGATACAGATCTCCCTCCCCAGTAGACTGCAAGCTCTTGCATCGTTTCTCTGCTGCAGGCCAAAGAAATTGTGGGAATCGCAGCGTGGACTTTAAAAGTCCATCTTAGCCAAAGAAGAACTTTTGGACAGTGTTGTATCCCACGTACGAAAGAGGAGATTGAGAACTAACGGGCAGGAAGCTGTTAGCTACCTGAAGGGAGGTTGCAGTGAGGTGCGTGTCGGCCTCTTTTCCCAAGTGACAAGGGATAGGATGAGAGGAGATGGCCTCGAGTTGCGCCAGGGGAGGTTTAGGTTGGAAGCCAGGAAAAATTTCTGCCCCAAAGGGTTATCAAGCGTTGGAACAGGCTGCCCATGGAAGTGGTTGAGGCACCATCCCTGGAGGTGTTTAAAAGACGTGTAGACGTGGTGCTTAGGGACAGGAGTGAGTGGTGGACTTGTCAGTGTTAGGTTTACAGCTGGACTCGGTGATCCTAAAGGTCTTTTTCAACCTCAGGGGTCTATGATTCTCTACTCTTGGTTTTGCAAATGAGAATGTTTTTACATGAAAAGCTTGTTTGTCTTTCCCCTTCTCACAGACTGACGGACTTAGCTGCACTTGAAGGAAAACATTTCTCCTTCCAGAGTGAGCTGGTAGTCGCAAGAGAGACACTGGAGGGATCGCACCTCCAGAGTGATCTGCTGAAGCAAGAGAAACATCAGCTTGCCCCGGCACTGGAAAAGGTATGGTCACCTCCTTCCTAGGCAGTGCTTGTGGGAGAGGGAGCTGCGAGGGCAGGACCACCGCAGACGCCGTTTCTGGCAGCAGAAGGCAGGGGCAACATTGGTCTCCTACTCTCACGTGTGGCTAAAGAAGCAAACAGCGTAGCTCTTCACCCTTTTTCGAAGGCAAAAACAAACAGGGATGCATGTTTCTATTTACGCTTTTTTGTGGTGAAGCTTGCAACTTTCAGAACTCCATTTGCTCGAGACGGGACAGCGGGACAAAGCTCCAAGTCAAAGTCTGCTGTCTTGTACTGCTAAGAATGGGAATGACACCTTGCAGTTGTTGAAGTTGTATTTTAAGACCTACAGGCAGCTTTGACTTGCTGGAGCCTCTTTAGGCCTTGAGGAAGAGGATGAGAAATAGCTGATCCCACAAGACTGTTTCCTCTGGACTAGCTGATTTTGATCCAGTGGAAAAAGAGCTTGGGAGAATCGCATCACTGGAGGAGACAAGGGAGTTTGCCATCACTGCAGTGTCAGTTTCATAATGTACTATCTTGGGTATTATGGGATAGCTTTGAGAGGAGAAGCGTTTGTTTCTGAAGGTCTGTGGTCTGTTCGACAGTCTTAGTTCTGGAGTACGTGGTATGTTTAGCAAATACCCAGCAGAGGTGTTATATTGAAGAAAAAAACTGAAAAATCACAGTTAATCTTCAAACTTGAATGCCAGCGAGGTATATTAGACAGCTTCCTTATGCCAGACAAGTAAACGGAATTGTTGCCATGACCTAATGCACAGAGTCCAGGAGCTCTTTCTCCTCCAGCTGACTGAGAAGCGGCACTGGGTGGCTCTGCCCAGAGCTCCAGAGAAAGGGCTCTAACTGCATTTTGTCACGCTTTCAGGTTTACCGCCAGCAAGGGTCAGCTGGCAGTGCTTGGGAGCAGCAGCGCCAGGAGTCCTCTCGCCAAGGGCACGCACTGACCGAGGTGTCCAAGGAGAAGGAGCTGCTGGTGCAGGAGAAGGCTGCCCTAGAGCTGCGCCTGGCAGCCATGGAGCGGGACAGGCAAGGCCTTTCCGAGCAGCTGGCAGAAGCCAGGTAAAGGCAGGGAGGAGACCCCAGGCAGGACGTGATTTAATGTCTGTAATGATAAGGTGGTAATCGTTACACAAGGATTTATGGCATCCTGAGTGCTTTTCAGATGTTTGCACCTTCCATGGAGAGAAAATGGAAGAGTCTTGAGCAAAAAACCCCCAGTATACGGTGATTTGGTATACCGTTACTTTTCTGACAGCTAGAGCTATCAGAGCTCTCCTGAGCCTCGGGCTTGTGTTTAAGCCCGCTTGCACATTCCTGTTGGAAGTCCAGAGCTAGCCAATATAATTTCTCAGTATCTGGTACCTTGGCTGTGCATTGAGGAATAATTAAACCGTGCAGACGTGTACTGAAACCTGAAGCTTCTCTCTGGCTTTCGCTTCTTGTTCTGTGCATTTGAACATAGATCTTGCCTTATCAAGTAGTTTGACACAAGATCTTCAGAATTCAAGGCTGTTACGTACGGACATTGTGAGTAGGACACTGCCATTTCGGGTGAAGCTGGAGGCTCCCGCTGAAAATCTTGAGGGCCTTCTGGTTCTAAGCTAACTCTGGTTAGCTGTGGTGCCGGACCTAGAGTTGGTTCCCCCAGCCGCAGGGAAGCGTCTTGTGAGTTCTCGCCGGTCTTTGGGACTACTTGCCCATCAGTGGTGTCAGGGTCCTGTACTGCTTACCACATGCTCTTTAGTGACAGATGTCGTGGTGATGTTATATGGGGAAGGAACAAGATTCTGTCCTGCTGTATCAGGTTTCTAAGATCAAATGCGACAAGTTCTGCTTTTCCAAAAAGCCCCAAGAAACAACTTAACTTGTCGAGATGTTTGTCCTCCTCTTAGATATGTTTTTAGAAGACTCCTGAATTTGTGGAGCTGTACGAGTGGTGTTTTAAAGACTGTTTGTTGTGCTTCTTGACTTTTGTGCTTTACCGCTCCAGAGTAGGTTGTTAGCGAGGCTGATAAACACCATTTTGACGCAGTCTGTCTCTTGAGAGCTGCTGCTTCTTCTGAGCTCCAGCTTCTCTTATTTAATCCTGCTGATGTATGTTTTGTTGCTTACTGGGCTGTAGCAACTCTTCTTGCAGGATGTTGTTCTCAAGAGCCTTTCGTTGCCACACTTTGGAACTTTTCTGTTTGGTTTTAGAGCCTGACTTTGACTTATCCTTAAAACGGAGCATATTTACTTTGGCCTGCCAGAGGCTGGCGTAATCAGAAATAGGTGCTTGTTTTCCTTCTTGAAGATACATCCTCCATTGTCCATCCAGGTTGTGAAATCCCGCTGTTGTGCGTTTGATTGCTGTTCCACTCGGGTGCCGCTTTACCCTGAAGGACGTTGTCCTGATGGCATCCCTGTACCAGTGAGGCAGTGCTGTGTGTTGTAGGAACCTGGCGCACAGACGCTGTGTGAGGTCAGGGAGGTAACTGCAGCTCCTGGTACCACAATCCCGCGTGTCATAGGCAGCAGTTGCTTGAAGTCTGTGGATGTAACAGTTTGCCCCTGCAGGTCTACAGCTTCCATTCCAAGGAGCAACAAGACATTTGGGCTACTGCCTACTTAGTTACCAACACTTGAAGAAAAGTAGCAAGTTTTTCTCTTGAACTTCCGACAGTTTAAATTGAAGGGTGCCTGTCTCTGCTTTCAGGTGGTCCTTGTTCAGCTGAAGTCGAGTTCAGATTTCTTACGGACGCTGCTACAAGCGTGAGACTTTACTGTATTTCTTTAGTCCCTTTGAAATAGAGGAGTCTGGAAAATTCCCTACCTATATGAGCAGCATAAAAAAGTCATGGGTCAGCCATGGTCAGGCAAATACTCTTCTTCTGTCCGCCTGCAGAGCAACTTGGAAGTGCTGACGAGATAAGGGCTGTGAGCAGAGGCTGGCCATTTGCTTGCTGGCACAGACTTTGTGAGCACAGCTACTCATGTGTTGTAGATCAGACAACAGCAATTTAGGACTTAGCTCTTGAGGTCAAATTTGCCTGGGCTTTCTGTGTTATGCTAGGTGAGAAGGAAAGCCTGGGCATTGCCTCGAAGGGGCCTGCATTGCTATCTGCAGTGGCAGAAATGTGCTTTCTATATATATGAGTTCCCATGCAAACCATTTTCTGTACTCAGGGGTAGGGCTCTTGAGCCACTGCTTACTGGAATAATGCCCTGTGGGTCTGAGGGGCAAGAAACTGATTTCTCTCCGCATTTGCAACTTGCAGGTCAGTGAAGGAGACCCTGGAATCCAGCCTGTTTCAGACTCAGCAGCACCTGTCTCAGCTGAAAATCCAGCTTGGCACAGTCACACAGGCCAAGGAGGCCATCCAAGGTGAGAGCGTCACGTGCTTTGTTTCTGGTGATCCCCTGCCTAGGCAAGGTGGTATAAAAACAGCTCTCTGTCTTCGTGGTAGTGAAGAGGCTTGAGACAGATCCTTCCTACACTGAAATTCAAATGGCTTGAGGTCAGTAAAGTCGGAACCACTGTCCGTGTAGACTCTGACTGTTGGCATTGGTCATGTTTGCAGAGGAAGTGAAACGGCTTCGGTGTGAGCTGGAAGCAGAGAGATCTCTCGTGAGGCAGGAACGGGAAAACACGGCACAACAGCTCTTGCGGACAAGACAGCAGTATGACAGTGCCCTCAGCCTTCGGCAAACCATTCATCAAGTGGCAATAAACAAGCTCCTGCAAGATCTGGTAGGAAACAATGTGCTTTTGAATTCTTTGAGCAAGCTTTGTGGGCTGGCTTTAGAAGAAGAATAGCCTGAGCGGATGAAATGGCAGCAGTCACCTGCCAGAGGCCGCCAGGCCGGGCGGCAGAGCCAGCGGCTCGTACTTGCAGGCCATGAAGACCCATGGGCTGTGCTGGGACAGTAAATACAGCCACAGATTTGGTGTGGGCCTAAGACGAGTTCAACAGGAGGTTGGATGGTCCCCACCCAAAGCACAGCAGCAAAGGGGTAGTGTGGAGTCCTGGCTGGACGAGAGGGGACATAGTTTCGTGTGTTGAGCAACCCAGATTCCGATCTGG